CTAACACTAGGTTTCCTGCTTCTCGTTCCCCTTATCAGCCGGAATAAATTACTATGCTTACCATGGGCAACGGCCATTTCCATCTCTGAAGCTCGATGAGATCACAAGGATTCGCGGTCTGTCTTTAGGCTAGCCCAAACTTTTGCCCGAAACTCCATGCGAGTTCATTGTGTTCGCTCCCAACCGAAATATACCGGCGAGCATCGATAAGTTCCAGAGGCTGCGAAGAGACCCAATGTTCATGTTGGCGATTAGACATACCACATGAGGACTTTCCTGCTGCCAGTAAGGTCTGGTGAATATGAGACCACTGAGCTTCAGTTGCATCCAGTGAGCCCAAGTCAGAGCAGCACATTCAGTTCTATCATCAAGCCTGAGGGAACTTACTTCGATGCACCAGGTGATATCTATGAAATATTTATTGCTTTTGTTGCCAAGTCACTGGCAAATCACTGGTCATTGGGCACATCGTGGCCCGGAAGCAAGAACACTGATGTGAGCCACTGCATAGTGGAATTTACTACTGCGAAGGTCGCCTACCAAGTCTCCTTTTACATTTGTGGACTTATACGGGATCTGATGGAACCTTTCCTGGTTTATTAAAAAGTGATGGAAGACACTTGGTTTCGCCTTTGCCTAACCTCTTTACGCTTTCGTATACCAAGAAAATATAACTTACTCGGTAGATGACTTCTGTTATTATTTCGCTGCACGAAAACAGGGCCGCTCATGAAGTTAAAAGCTTTCGTCCCCTCAATCAGAGTACCGTATCTAAACTAATAGAAGGAATAGTTAAATATGAATCACTTATCTTCTAGAATTAGAGAACCACAGCAGCAAGTCATAGCACAGGTTTTTGCAAGGCCGTTATTGCACAGCATGCTAAACGGATCTCTTAAGACGCACAACGGCTGCCGTAGACAACGGAGACCGTGTTTATAATTCTGTTCTTTGATATGTAAAATGCTTTTGTTAGACTGCCTTATCGAAGCTTACACAAAAGTTGAAGGCAGGAGACACTAATGATCCAATGTTTTCTTGGTTGTTCACATATCTAATTGTTAGGCAGCCGGTGGTGCACGTTGGTAACCAATTTTCTAAACCGAAGGCAGTAGCCAGTGGAGTAATTCAGGTAGGTGTTTCAAGTCAACCAAGTCAACAATGTGCTTTATGCACCAACGAAGAGTGAATATTCAGCTACAGCACACATGCTACGGGCACTAATAAAATGAACTAAAAATATGACAGATGTATGTGGCGCGCCACTATTTAGAATAGGTCTCAGCGGTGATATCATCGCTTTAGTCTAGTAATAAGGTCTTGTTTGACTATATCTTAGTCCCCCAGAAAATGTGACAAATAAGGCACAACTGATGCACCGTAAGCCCGCGTGCGGGCATAAATAGCTTCGTACCTTTGTCTGGTCGAAGACGTTGATATATTCGGACAACACACAATGGAGAGGGGGACTGGCATCAGTGAGTATTATGGACGCCAGTTTTACGCAGCAGCGAAAATGATCGGACACAATGACGTCAATAGACACGAGCATGGAAATTCCGCCGTATCGAGCAAGCTGCTTCAGCGAGCTGTTGATCACTTTGGATTGCCTGTTTTAGAGTCCAGGAAATATCACTGATGAGCAATACTTCCAGTGCGATATTACGCAAGCGGTGACAAACCGTAAAATCATGTAACGAGGCACAGATGAAGACCTAATTCGGGAGACGTAGAACGTTAGTCTCCTGACTTTAGTGCATGTTTCATTCAGGTGATATGTAACTCCGAGATATTTCACTAATGTACAGATGTTTAGACTGATACTGTCAATACTAAGATGTAGGGTGTCCGTCAAGAGCTGTTGTTATCAATTTTTCTTGGACAGCCAGTAAATAACATCTTTACACGTTGATGCGTTGAGTGAAAGACAGCGGGATTTGGACCAGGAGGTCAGGTTGTCCAAGAAGCATTGCAAGTTGGCCGATGAATCTGTTGTGTGATTGTGTACGCCAAGGATCACTTCATCAGCATACTTCAGCGGGATGACTTCCTTTGGTGCGGGAACGGATTTAGTGTAGGTAGCAAATAGGAATGAGGACAAAATAGACTCTGAAAAACACCTGAATTTGTGATGAGTGAGGAAGAGCCTATTCCCCAACCTTTGTAAACTGCCTATGATTGGCAAATTAATCTGTAAGCAAAAGTACTAATTTAGGTTAAACTAGCAGGTAGTGTAACAGCAGCTCGCGGTTTACACAACTGTAAGCACTGCTGTAATCTAGGAAGCAGATCCGCTTGGGTTTGTTTTTACTATTAAGTGATGAAAGCACGGAGTGCACAAGACAGGCTAACGCATCCAAAGTAGATCTTGAACTGCGATAAAAGAACAGAATAGGATCACTTCAGTGGGTTTGGACAACCATTGGCTCAAGTATGATTGGTTCTAATGTATTCAAATCCACAGACGTACAAGCAATGGGCCGGTACTTCCAGGTTGCATTTTGGTACAGGTTTAATGCAGGTGCTTCGCCAGCAGTCGGCTGTCTTGTGTTGATGTAGACCCATGTTGTACAGTTCAGAAAAGGACTGTGCTAAGACATTAGCACGTTCCTTTAGGACTATAGGAGATAGTCCGTCCGGACCGGGCGCTTTGCACGAATGTATCCTTGTTAATTCCTTGTGAACTATTACGCTATCTATGGGGGGTGAAGGTTGAGGAGAGAGTTGCCACGTTAAAGATGACAGGTGCAATGCTGAATCATATATATCGCCACAGAAGTTGCGAGTTATCTCCTCCACATCGAAGGGAGTGTGTGTGACACTTATGACGACTCCACTCAGGTTCTTCATCGTGTTCCATATTTCTCAGCAATTATTCTTTCCAAGTATAGTTTGGACGTAAATATGGTTGAGGCGGCATATTTCCTTTTTAAATCGGTCGATACGGACTTTACTGAAGCGGCGCCTTAACGCTTGTAAGCTTTTTCTTTGAGTTCACGCAGGCACTGAGATGAATGTGTGTATGCGTGAATCAAAATGGTTTCATAGGACAACAAATATCGAAGCAAATGTTCTAGTAGCTGGTTTACTGATCACAGTACTTCAATACATCAGAGTTGCAAAATATATTGAAGTCTGTAGAGGCGACCGTTTCGCGTATTAGCTCAATGTTTCGGGGAAGACGTTGTCTTTGAGTTCACTTGAGATCTTTGCAGCGAATAATATTTTGGTCATTTGTTTAGCCATAGATTACAGGAGATAACTTTATGGTGTCATAACCTGAGCTTCCAAGCGGTGCCTTGTGTCATTTGTTTTTCTGATCTATATAAGCGATGTACTCCCGAGAATTGGGCATGGTGCTGCTTTTCTGTTTGCTGAAGACAATAATCGTCCACCTATAACAAGTGCAAATACTCAGGAAGCCTTACGTCTCATTCAGAATGAATTTTTACACTTGAACCCTGGTGCCACCTGTAGGAGATGCAGTGTGCCATAAACAAGTGTACTATCCTGTCGTGCAAATGCCAAGTACCACCAGACAGTCTACCGCTGCACTGCACATACATCTTGCAAAGCAGGTCAGTCGCGACTTAGGCGAACGACATTCTGTTACAATGGACTTTTGCGAACATTGTGGATTTCAAGTTTTGAATGTCATGAAGCCCATGGTTACCTATGTATTCATTTTTATCTCACTGATTCGCGAATCTGCCTTTACAAAACGTGTTTTACCAACTATGGCTTACCATTTTTCTGCCCAGTCTAATCTAAGAAAATCTGACCATTATGCTCTTGAAAGGGTCTAGCAATGCTCTACGAAGTTGCCATGTGTTTATCACTCTTAGATGGAATATATATACCGCTGCGAAAAGCATGGACTTGACCAAAGCTGGTTTCATGAAATGAAGCGGAACCTAGATTTTCTTAACAGGACTATAAACCATCATGTGCAATCTTCTGATAACGGGTTTCGCACGTGTTTTAACACTAAATACCCGACAACCAACATGGAGGTCATGATCATGATCCAGTTCACTAATAGATCGAAATTTTTAAATATTGAAGGATTTGGGATGGACTCCTGTTGCACCCAAGCGAAATCAGAACAGCTGTATGGTAGGGGACTTTAGTAGCAGGCATAAAGCTGTACACTCCATTCGGTACATGTCAGCACGTAAAAATGTCTGCGTTGAGAATCACAAGAAAGAATCAATACCATGCACAGATTGGTTGATACCCAAACACGCACGCACCGAAGTACATTCGCTCCCATGCAGCATTAGTAGGCCTTCCGGCTGAATGGCGGTGGATGGATTTGGCATTATATCAGAACCTACTATGCACTTCGTAAATACAACCTGGCGATTAATGGTCATTTGACTGCGCAAAACGCGGACAATATGCTTAGGACATGACGATCTCCGAATACCGTTCTTAAAGATAACAATACCACCTGAGATTTATCGGGACTAAATAAAGATATTTTGGCTCACAGCCTCCTTTTTTCATTATTTTTATTGGCCCGAAGATCTGGCTTGTGTTTATGAGGGACACTGTTCCATCTATATTTTGAAAAAATAATTCGGATTACTCATGTTGCTCATTTAAAAATGTGTTATGCTCATACTTTCAATTAACCATACGACAGCATAAAACCATCGTAGCACTTTTTGATGCGTCCCTTATAGGGACTAGTTCTTGAATCGTCGAGAAATATACAATCTGTTCGTTTAGTAGGTTAATATCGGGGCACTTCATTTTTATTTATGACTGTAGTGACAGTAAACTAATCCGTTTCATGATGTGAAAGCATTGTACAGCATTTTTATCACACTTTTTGAAGCATACATACTTTAGTTCAGCAAGACTATGAATTCCTCTGCTTTAAGTAAACTAGGTCTATGGCGGCCACCTGTTAAGTATGAACTCATTGCCATTAATAATGGCCTTTAGAGGTTAGAAATCTGGACATTATCTTGTCTTTTGTTTTCTTTAATCAGAACACCTACAACACTTGTCACGACGAATATTGTAAAGTACAAGGTACCACGGCTCGCGGCGATTGTGACAATGCTAGAGCTGCTTCCACGCATGGACACTCTACTACCATATCCATTCCTACCTCTATGTCATCTATGCTCAAGCTGGGCCGTGAGCGGAGGAATCAATGGCGTGCACATCATGAAGAGTTCAAAGTCATAATGAGACGGCTTCGTGGTGTTCAGACTGAACCCAACTCGACAGCAACTGAATCATGGATAGAGAGTTCAAACTCCAGTAAATACAAGTGGGATTGAGGGTTTGCATAGCGAATAGAATTGCACAATTGTGCAACCATAAAATAAGATTTCTCACGCAGCATTTATGTGCCTGCATTAACTTTGTGGCATTGCTTACAATTTAGCGAATTACTTCGTTTTAAAGAAAGCAAAGGAAGTAGGTTCTGTTTTTGATTCGAACACATTGCTCACTTCCTTACTCAAACGGCTAACACACCTTCACTTCTAGGTAATTCTTTCGCATACAATCGATAAGAGATTGTGGAGTGCTACTCAGATGCTATTCGCAAGCGGTGACGTGTAATAGGCGTACGGAGTACGGAAGTAAGGAGAACAGTTAAGTCGTCTGGACCCACTGTGTATTGACAAAACCTACAAAGGATGGAGTGCAGGTAAGCAGAGGCAAACAGTAGTATGAACAATGAATAATGATTTATCACGGGACAAAAGCAAGTGCTTGACACGTTCTGTAGGATGGTTGGGGTGAATATGATGAAATCAAAACATATCTGGGTCATCTACCCAACGTCTGCCGAGATGAATACTTCGATAAATTACATCAGTGTAAAATTAACAAAAATCGAGCGTAAACGTTCAGAAATACACTGGGGTGTAGTGATCGTTGATATAAGGCGTGAGAAAAGTAAAATATGGTCACTCACTTGGTTCCATTTGATATGGTATGTAGAGTGACTCACGAGATGAGCAAGTGCTCGGCATGTAACATGAGTTAAACAAATGAACGACCGGGAAGATATAAACGAGAATAAAATCCAATGTTTTAAAATATCGAAAGCGTGAATGAGTTATGTTCACTACAGGGGTTTCCACCTAGGAGGCTGAATGAGGGAAGCATTTGATATATGTCAGGTGGGTTAACTGGCTAGTCCACTCATTTCTTCCGATGCAGATTCGAAGGTGCGCTTGGGAGGTGTCACTGCCCTCATCACACCGCAGTCGACGACGATGATGATGCCTGTGTCACAAAGAATCCCAAGCGCCGTCTTTGGTGAACCGTTTCACAGAGCTCGGGACCCAGGCTAGTCTTTATTACATCCGGCGTTGGGAGTGGCGGTCGGTTGGAGCCAGGATGATGGAGGCTGAGGTTTCGGGTAAGTGGACCGCGGGATTCCGCGGTTTCTCAGGGGACTTGGGTTCTGGAATCGAAGACTCGGGAGGAGGAACGTGGTGGGAACTGGTAGCGTAACGCCGTATGGAAAAAGCGGCAAGTTTACGAAACAAAAGTTCGTCCACGTTTTGTTGAGAACCGTGAATCCGGCGCAAGGAGTGAGCAGAGACGACTACGAGTGTGTCGATGTACCTTGGAGCGTTAACAGCGAAGACAAGCTGAAGACCAGTTACTAACATTTTGGATGCGCTTCGCCAAACGCAAAGGCTCGGTAACCAGTTTTAAAGAAGCCTGAATACTAGGATGAAGCAATGAGTGCAGCGTGTCGAAGACGGTACTTCGGAAAGAGGCGGCCACGATGGGTTTATGACAACCTGTGGAAGTGTTGTAAAGGATAGTTCCTTCCGTAGTATACAGGGGAACGTGTTACGCGTGCAATGAAGTCGTCTACGGAGTGCGTTGGTGGTCTTCATTCTGGACCTGTGCCGATGCTATGGCGGCGAGCTCAACAGTAGGCAAAGAGTGAGGAGTGAGCTTAACGCGAGAGAGGGCGTTAGAGATGGGGTTAACGACACCCAGGACATAACGTATCTCAGCAGCAAACTGCGTAATAAATTCTACGTTTCTAGTGTACCGTGTTGAATATTTGTCATAAGACGTGTTGAAGGCTAAAACGAGAGGCTTGTGGTCAGTGCATACCTTGAAATCCAGGTCTTCTTATGTGCGTCGGAAGCGATGAATAGCTAAGCGGATGGCGAGCGGTTCTCTTCCAAAAGTGCTGCAGCAGGATTCCGCTGATTGCAGGTGTTTGTGGAGGAAACCGAGTAGTTGGCACTGCCCACCCACGTGTTGTTGGAGGACAGCTCCTGCAGCAACGTTCTAAGCGGTACCTGTTAAGGAAAGAGGAGCAGATGGTTTATTGTGAGCGATGAGAGCTATGTTGAAGATAGCATCCTTAAGCTCGGTCAAGGCCGTGTGTGCTGTATTGGGGACAACGAGTTTACGTCCGTTTCCATGCGTAGGTCAATCAGGGGTTGCATTATTTGAAGGCAGCTTGGAATAAAGCATTGATAGTAGTTGATTAACCTACGAATTTGACGGAGATGCTTAAACGTCGTCGAAGCTTAGAAATTTTAAATAGCCTGGGCCTTGTCCGCAAGGACCTTGATAACAGACGATGAGACGAGGTGACATAGGAATTCTAGCGTGCACTTGCTAAGTTTGCAATTAGTCGGCTTAGCGGTGGCGCCATGTTAGATCGGCCGTTGGAAGAGAGATTGCAGATGATCTAGATGCTCTTCTTCGGATGAACTATCTCCAAGAATGCCGTCAATTCAGGGTCAGCAAAGTCTACTCCACGAGTGACATCGTGGATGAAGAGTTGAAAAGAACGCATTGGTTCGAACAGTCAAACGACATTCTTAAAAATTCGATCAAGCCGAAGTAAGTACTGACGGCTGTTTTAGTTATGTCCGCTTCCTCGACAGGTATCTGGTGATAGTCACGGCCAAGATCGATTTTGTAAATAACCGCCTTACCTGTGAGATATGAAGTGAGGTCCTGCATGTGCGGTATTGGGTACCAATTGGAACCGTAAGTTTAGTTGGTGCCCGTTGGTCGCCGAAAGGACGTCAGTCTCCGGATTTCTTTGGGACCATCTGGGGTGGAGATGACCAGGGACTATCTGAAGGAGGAATTATTCTAAGTGCAAGCGTGTGCCCAAACTCCGCACTAGTTAGCTCTCGTTTCACCGACGAAAGACTGCATGGGCGTGCTGAAAGGAGTGTGCGGCTTGTCCGAATTTGATGGGTGCTTTGAGCTGTAACAAGTTTAGCTGCTTTCATTGGCCTAACGAGCTTAGGGTAATGGGCGGAATGTTCGTCATAATCAGGAGAGGTCTGTGAGGGAACGTAGATTGGGGGTGATGGGTGAGATGCCGAGGTTGGTACCAGCGACGCTGAGCGTTGTTGCGGGGTCGACCATGTTCATTTGTTTTACCTCGACTAGCGGGTATAAATATCTAAGGAATTTTATGCTGATGATGGCAGGCGGGACTGCGGCTATAATGAGCACTCGGCGAAATGTTCCACTGTGACTTAGATTAAAGATCAAATGGCGTTTGCTCTAAGTAGGGATGAGTGTGCCGTTGGCGGCGCGACCATCAACGACGACGACAACAACAACAACAACAACAGCAGCGGGAGTGCATCAGGCATTTGAACTGATGCCTCGCTGCCATCCATCCTCGAGGACCTATGGAATGAAGAATAAAATGGGGGAGTGGAAGTGGACTTAGCTGAGAAACTTAATACCCTAGCAAACATTCAGTGTCAAGGTGCCTGCACCTTGTGTTATCAACATACTCTCACAAACAGCTTGCTATCTTGCAAAGACAAGATGGCATCGGCGAGACAGCTTCTTTGCAGCTTTTACTGCTCCGCGTTATAATCAGCCATTACCTCGCAGATAACTCAGCACCTAACACACTTTAACCAGGCGATGGAACTAGTAGACGACAGCAGACGCGCCACTGGGATTGACTGCGAACCATGTCCTGTAAAGTCACTAGCTAAGTACAAGTCGGGTCACGTGGACTGTAGCCTGGGACGACACCCAGTTCGGTCGTCAGTGACTTCATTTGCCGCTGCCAAGCCAACTTGTGTCCACCTCGAGCCTTGAGCCACCCTACACACGGCAAGCTAAACAAGGCCCTCCTAGGTAAGCGGTGACTAGGCATACGTAGTACGTGCCAAAGCCAACGCAACTTATTCAGTGCTATCTGTTGTTCTATGGAACCAGCTTGATTACCACTGCCTATTACTCTTTGTGGACACTCTGTTGCCACCCAACACCAGCAATGCTTCGCAGACATTGATGATCGAATACTTGGAAGCGCTTCAGATCTTCAGACCGAAGGGGCCAAGTCTCACTCCCATAGAGCAGCTCGGCCATAACTGTGACCTTGTATACACGGCCAATAGGCGGAGGGCGTGCCCCTTATGTCGCCAAAGATGCTTCAGGTTCAAGTAGGCAGTTCTGGCTTCTGCAGTGCGTGAACTGACTTCAGTTTTTATGCGCCAATCGTTGATCATGTAGCTGCCAAGGTAAGTGAATCGATCAACCACCTCGAGTTCCGCGTTATCAAAGGTCAAGTGGTCATCAACTGACTGGTGGTCTTGCAGCAGCATTTTACACCTTGAAGGTGCGCAGCGCAGACCAAATAATGGGACTACTCTACACAGGTTATTCAGGGTTGACTGGTCGCTCAAACATCGTCAAAAAGCAAGACGATATCGTCCGCATAATCAAGATAAACTAACCTTTCACCAGACAGCATCTTAAAGGCTGCATCGTGAGAATCCACAAAGGAACACTCCATGATGCAGCCCACGACGAAATCGAACAAAAATGGGAAAATCAGACAACCCTGACAAACGCCACTTGTTGTCGGAAAGCTATCCGACCCTGAAGCGGCCTGTCGTGTTCGAGTATAGAGCATGTAAGATGTTCACATATTTCGTGGAAACACCTTTCCGCTCAAGTATTTCGAACAGAGTGGATCGATAGACAGAATCGAACGCACTCTTAGAAATCGAGGAACACATTTCTAGCAACTGCAACAAAGTGAATATGTGGTCTGTACATCCCCGTCCTGGGCGGAAAACTGCTTGCTCTTCCCTAATCCAGGTTTCGCATTCCGCAGTGTGGCGACGAACGAGAATCGAGGCCAGTACTTTTGTCACAACTGGCGTTAGGCTACTACCCCAGTGGTTTCACCTTCGGTGCGACTGGGACGCGAAAGCTGAGTATACTTTTAAGGCGCCTCCTTGGTAGACGAAGAGATACACTGACTTTAGCCCCGTTATCAT